GCTGGAAATGCCGCCGCTGCCGCGGGATCCGTGACACCGGAGGGAAAGCCGGCCCCGGGCTCAGCCCACCCGCACAGCCACGCTTTTCTGACTGCTGGTTTGTTTTTTTTTTGCTCCAACGCGGCCAAAGTTTGTCCCCGGCGCGGGGTCTCTCCTCCGTGCTGTCCCCAGACCTACCCACAAGTGTACATGTGTACGACTTGGTCACCTTCGGTGCTGTACAACCAAATAATCCTACAGCTGGAAGGCTCTTCCCACAGAGTTTCTCCTGGAGTCAGGAACTAGTTAGTTGGCCTGAAATAAACTACCTGGAAACCTAGATCTGGCCATTAATTGCTGCTGGGGTCCTTATTTGCAACTTCAGACTCAAGTTCAGGGTGGTTTAATAATCACTTGCAAGACCCTTCAAAAGCAGCATCCTTCTTTCCTGGGTCTTGCTGGGAGGCAGTCTGCATTCATACTAACTTGGGATAAATGATGGATTTGATACTTGGATCAATTTGTATGATATAAAGCAGTTATCTTTAAGAGGCCCTTTTACAATCAGTGCCTTTCACGTCATGCCAACCTAGGTATAATTTAGATCTTACCAATAAAATATAGTATCTAATTTCTAGTATTCAGTGAGCTAAAGATTGAAAATGTTTCACTTGAACAATTTTGGGGTTTATTTAGATTCCCCTGATGCCAATGGCCTCATCTAGACCAGGCATGCTTTTGCCTGGAACTAAGTAGTGATACTCCACACAGGCATAAAGTTGCTAGTAGGGGCAATGACATTACAAAGCTGCAAAGGCTTTTGGCACAAGGTAATCGTAAAATACCCCTTAAAAAACAAACCCTTCAGCCGTACTCGAGACAACAGCAGCTTTGACTGGCATAACATTGCCCGTGTTAGGGGCTCCGGACAGGAAAGCTGGTCCACCTCTGAGGTGGGCCAAGGGCAACCTGCAGCACAGACCTACCCGCCCTCAGAAAAGGGACACATTTCAAGGGCAGGTCATTCATCCAAAGTAGCTCAGCTACTCTGACATCCCTACCAGCGTAAGCCTCCATCTATACAAGGAAAACCATGAAGAAAGGTACAAAAAAAAGCCAGGGAAGGATTTTAGTGTCTGCTGCATATTTCACTCCGTTTCCCTAAAAATTAAAACAGATAAAGTAACTAAGGAAAGCATTATTCATAGCCCCACAGGAAAAAGCTGTTCCTGCTTTCCTGTCTCTGCTGTAAAAACCCACAACCCTTTAGTTAAACACCTCAATTCAGTTAGGTGCTACGTAGTTTTCAGATAAATTAATGAAATCTTTTCTTTTCATCTGGTGAAGACCAGTGATTGTTGCTGCTACATTTACTGTTCAATTTGTAAATATAGTAGTACAGGACAGTTCTGCTGCAATTATCAGTACTAGTTAAGAGCATTTATTCATGTTACTGTTCCCTTTTAAAAGCACAAGTCAAAGGTGTTGCTTAAATACACAAATTATATTTATTAAACCTGTATTTCAGAAGCTAATTTGCAAAGAACGGTGAGGTTTTCACATTACAGCTCCTGGGGGAGAGAAGCAAAAAAAAAAAATAAATTGATCAAATCTGGTTTTATTAACAGAATTGTTGCAAAATGCGAATGCTGAATTTGACTAAACGTTGCCCAACGCTCTTTGGTTTAATGAAGCAGAAAGTTCAGCGCGGCCCAAACGAAGGACTTGCTTCCTGCCCAGCACTTCCAAGATTTACAGGCGCGTTCCCCCCCTGAGAGGGCACGAAAACAACATCAATATTTGCACAGTCCTACCCGGCCAACCTCCTCAGCTACGACCTTCACCCTCCGAAGCGAAAAACCTACTTCCTAGACAAAAGCAACAACAACCACCTACACACAAACAAGGCTTTTCGGCCGGCTCCAGCGGCCCCCCGGCCCGGCCGAGGAAGGCCCGCGGGCAGCCACCGCCCCCAGCGCCACACGTTTCCACACTCGGCTCCCCCCGCGGTGCCGCCCCCGCCCCGCGCGGCCCCCTGGGCGCTGTAGTTTCGGGCGGCGCGGCGGAGGATGCCTTCCCGTCCCCTAAAACCCCCTGCAAGGAGAGTAAGTTTTCCTTTCGCCCTGGGCAAGGGGTCCGCTCGGGGAGCCGCTCCCCCCTGGGGGTCTGTGTCCCTCAGCCAGCCTCCCGCTGCCGGGGCCGGGCGGGCCGGGCTGCGGGGG